TAGTCAGTAACAAGTGTAATGTGTGCGTGTCTAGTCCTAACTTTGGTGCAGACTAAATTGTATCAGTCAAGTTTCCAGTGCGTCCACCATGCTAGGTGGCTCACCATCACGGTGCACTTTGAATTGTCGATATTAGATGGTTGGAGTTTATTCTCAAATTAATCGGTTACATTTCTGTTGAGTTAAGAGTGATCATCTTATCCCAAATCCACTTCGAAATGGACGTAATTTTCTTCCACAGCTCTTCCCTAGTTGTTCATAAAGGAGCGCCTTGTGGAAACTGAAGTAAGAATGAGGATGTCTTTCGGACAAAGTAAGTGTTGTGTTCTTTTTAAAGTCGTTTGCAAAAATATCGGTTAAGTGAAATTCAGATAACGAGGTGAAGTTTTGTTTAAATCTGTTCTAACGCCTTCATTCAATACTTCATTTTTTAAGATTCCTTATAATTTAATTAGACGATTTGATGTAATCTAGGCTTAAGAAACTTTTTAAAAATTCTATATTATCAGATGGTTTGTGATCAATCTTGAAATCAATCAAACCTCTGCAGATCAACGCTTTTATATTATCAAAAGGATGGATACTGAACAAAGAGTAGTCTTTTCGGTAACTTCATCATCAGGCTCTACAGTTATATATATATATTATAGTGAATGAATGAATTAATGTTATGAACAACATTAATGTTGTTTAAATAACGTCGAATCAATAATATTGATAGATTACAGCTAGATGGCATCAACATTAAATAAGCTGAATGTCAGAAAAAATAGGAAAGATAATATTACAAATTCATGAGTTTATAGCTTCTCCTGAAGACCAGGGCAGTAGTAGGGGCTGAACTTGCTTCTTTTGAACACAGAACACTGGTTGTTTGAGGCGAATTGTAATAGCTTCTGCTGTTTGGAGCATGCAGTGCTTCGATGATTTTGGCAATTTATTAGGCACCCAGTAGATTATAGAGAAGGATTCTTCCACGCTAGCTTTGTGGCTGGTTCGCATCAGATGGTCCAATATCGAACTGTTAATGGTTTTAACTACACCTTTACTTAGCCATAGTGGGAGATGTTCTTGAGCACGAAAAATCAAGTTCCTACAGCAACGGCCAATATAACTTGCTCCACCATCAGCGCAGTTGAATTGGTAGATAAAATTTGAAGCGGCTAGTCTAGGTACTTCATCTTTCAGTCGAGGTATCACCATCGGTCGCGTAGAGAATAATAATAATAGCATTAAAAGTTCTTTGAACTGATTTTCTTAATTTCTTCGCAATTATCTCGCTTGGTATATCGCCCATGAATTGTAGTCGTATATAAAGAGGCTTTTTGTTAACAGATAGTGAGTAGTCCTTTTCCGCTTTCTTTGTCATGTGTTTCTTGATAAATTTTTCGGGATAGCTATTTTCAATAACAGCACCATATACAATGCTTAATTCATCTTCAATTACTTCTTCTAAGCATATAGCTCTAACTCTGTGGCTGAGGGTCTTCACTAAATTTCTTTTGTACTTTATAGGAACGAAGCTGTGAAAATGTGTATATTGTCCTGTCCAAGTACTTTTCCTATGCGAATTTCTTTTTATGCTACTATCTGGTTTTGTTGTAAGGAGGACATTTAGGAAGGCAATTCTGTCTTGGGATAACATAGTGCTCACCGGGGGCTGACTGTAGGTTGAAGTCCTAGTGAGATATCGTGACTAGTGAGGCCCACCAAATTGAGTATGAAGAGAAATACTCCCTAACAACATTGGCTGGTGTTTGGGCTATATGTCGCCAATTGGTAGAAGTTAGAACTGAGGGGTCATTGGATTCCGTCCCAATGATTAAATAATACATGAGATCGCCTTTTAACCTGAAAGTCTTGGTGGATTCTTGGGTGCCGCGAATAGGGACTAAACAGTTTAGTTGTCCAGCACTCCCTGGTTTTCAGCGCTTCTCTAACTGAAGTCAATTCATGATCAGTCTTCAAATATTTTGTACTTCTAATAACCACTGAGGATATTCATAAGTATGCTTAAGTATGAATTGACTTAACTCCAATAGTTAGGATTACTCATATAAAAACAGCATGTTTGAGTTTGATTTCAATATACTTTTTCGGTCAAATTAAGTTGATATGTCTTACTGAATAGAGATGATAAGTTGGTTGCTTTCGAGGCATCCTTTGAAGTATACTTCTGATATCTATTAACCGATATTTTATAAGTCTGTTTCAGTTTGTTATGTGAAGAGTCCTTTAAAATATATCGATTTTATCAGACTTAGCTGTTGTCAGTTTTCCTCAGAAATTATGAAATTGTTGCAATTTCAAACTTATATTGAGTTGTGAACATTTAAGTGACTATCATCGCATCACTAATGAATCTGTTCTTTATCGCTTTGTTAGTTATTCATTTATTTGTACCTGCAGGTTACGGTCTGGCGGGTTCTACTGACACGATTTTATAAACAGTATACTGTGTATGTGATGTCTTTGGCAAGAATAATGAATAGTGGAGGGATGAATTAGGTGATGCAGGAGGGAATTGAAAGATCCCTGTGATGCTGATTTTCATGTAGGGTATATGCATTTCGCCATATTTGTACATCAGTTAGCCAATGAACAATTCCGCTACCAATTACTCCTAATATTCCTGGAAATTTCGGTCATCTCAATTATTGACTAGTCCTTTTTAACCGTTGTATCTTGAAGTAGTCAGTAATGACTATCGTTACGGTAATATTTCATCGCTGACTATGCAAAGCTTATAACAATTAATACTGGCTTTAAGCGTCAATGAAAACCAAAGTTATGTCCATCTCTCTCGTCGAAAATAAGACGAAATCTAGCATCTTGAAATTCACTGTTAGCATCTGCTAGGTGCACAGCATAAATCAGAATGGTTTACTCGCTCACATTTTTTATGGACAGATATTGTAACAACTGCCACCCAGCGATTCAGTTCACGCTGGAGAAAAATTCCGACTCCAAAATATCCTTTCTTGACGTCCAACTAACAAGACGAGAACAGGATGGAATACTGAAAAGATCTATCTACAGAAAGTCAACATCGAACGGACAGCTTATTAACTTTCACAGTTGGGTACCCCTATGCACCTAAAGAAACCTGATCCGTTTACTCAACTACAGAGTTCACAGAATTTGTACCCCGGACACCGTAGAAGATGAACTAGACAATCTCAAGAGAATCCTCGTCGAGAATTGTTACCCAGAATGATTTATTGCAAAATCCATGAGTCCTAGACCACAAAAGCCGCCCATGCTTAGCGCCCCTAAAAAACTACTCTACATGAAACTTCAATTCAGTGGAGATACATCTGCGGAAATACTAAAAAATCGATTGTCGCGCTCACTCAAGAAGACCTTCGCAGCTGAACTACGACTAATTTTCTCCACAAAACCTATGATTCATGTGAACGTGAATGATAAGCTACCACTGCTGGCCTCATCAATGTGTATTTATCAATTCACCTGCTCGTGTGGAACCAGGCATTTCGGCCGTACCCAGCGTTCGCTTCCCAAACGTATCACCGAACACTTACCAACATGGTTTTACAAAGGTGAAAAACGATGCCCCTGCAGCTCCATCTTAGAACATCTGATAGAATCCGGACACCAAGCTGCACCCCAAACAAATTTCAAAGTCGTCTACAGAGTAAGAAGTAGTCTTCCTAAAGGTGTACGAATCAGACTTCTTCAAACTGCAGAAGCAATGGCGATTCACTTGCTAAGCCCTGAACTCTGCATACAGAAGAAGTTCGTTCAATCACTACACTTGCAATGGACTTAATCTATCTTATTACCCGACAAGTAAATTCTACCTAATCTCATTTTTTCTGTCTCTTCATTAGTATTATTTTGTCTTCTCAATTGTAATATTTTGCATTTTCAACTTTCTTGTTCTCTACTCCCACCCGATTTAATTTCTACACCTCACTACCACTGTTACTGACTTGACCAACGCTCAATTTCTAGTAATTTATGTTACGTCATCCAACTTATTTGCTCAATTTTAGTTCTAATTTAAATGGCATTATTCTCTACCCCACTTCTACTTAGTCTCTACCTGTAATTACCTCTGTTGCTACCCTGACCTAAGTTGAAACATTTTAGTCAATTATATTACGTCATCTAACTTACTAACTCAATCTTACTTTAGTTGCTGTCTAATTAACCTTGTTTCTATATTAAATCATTCTTTTATTATCTGATCAATTATCTAAACTTGACAAACCTCATGTACACACACACACACACACACAAATAATTATATATAAATGCGACTGTACAGCTATGTGAATGAATTCGCCGAAAAGAGTCTCTTCGCTGAACATCTTCTCTTTTTCATATAACTCAATGGGGATTTTCAAGATATTTTATTTTTTGTTATCTTCTATTTTCCATATTTCACTCAGTTTAAACGCAGTCTGATAATGAATCTGTCATATATATATTTTTAAAGCAAAGCACTGCTTCCTGATTTAGTTCACAGACGATTTCTTAAACATTTCAACCATTCACAAAAGAGTAACAAATATCTTTACCGGAAACACGGAAATGCATCTATTCTATGATTGATTACTTATCCCCAGCAAGTTTACTAGTTAGCTGAAAAGAGCTATGCTTCTTTTTTCTCTCAAGGGACCAAGAAAATTGGTCCTACAGATAGTATCTAATAATCATTCTCAAATTATTAGTGTTAGTTGTTGCGTAGGAAAAGTTCTAGGCTGTCACTTCACTATAGAGAACAGACGGGTTCTGTTTAATTTTTGTTAGCAGTCAGCAAAGTGAAGTGTTTTCGTAATTATATATTCACCTAGGCTTTACATTTTCGTAATAATTTCACCCTGTTGATGGTTCTATTCCCAATGAACACTCCTGCTACATTAAATCAAAAGTCGGGTGTAACGGTAACTTATTGTATTTACTGTTTACTAATTATTGTTAACAGTGATTTTTCACTTAGAGTTTTACATGATTATTTTCTGTTCAAAAAGAAATTAATATTCTTCACCTTCTTCATTTTCACCTTCAGCATCCACACTGTCAACACCAACTTCTTCATAATCCTTTTCTAGTGCTGCCAAATCTTCACGAGCCTCTGAAAATTCTCCTTCCTCCATACCTTCACCGACATACCAATGAACAAATGCACGTTTAGCATACATCAGATCGAATTTATGATCTAAACGTGCCCACGCTTCAGCAATAGCTGTTGTGTTGCTTAACATACAAACAGCTCTTTGTACCTTGGCTAAATCACCACCTGGTACAACAGTTGGTGGTTGATAGTTGATACCGACCTTAAATCCTGTTGGGCACCAATCCACGAATTGAATTGTTCTCTTAGTTTTGATTGTAGCTATAGCAGCGTTGACATCTTTCGGGACAACATCTCCACGGTACAACATACAGCAAGCCATATACTTTCCGTGACGTGGATCACATTTGACCATTTGGTTGGCTGGTTCAAAGCAAGCATTAGTAATCTCGGCTACACTCAACTGTTCATGATAGGCTTTCTCAGCAGAAATAACTGGTGCATAAGTAGCCAAAGGGAAGTGAATTCGAGGATATGGCACCAGATTAGTTTGAAATTCTGTCAGATCAACATTAAGAGCACCATCAAATCGAAGTGATGCAGTAATTGAACTAACAATCTGGCCAATCAAACGATTTAGATTCGTATAAGTTGGTCGTTCAATGTCCAAATTACGTCTGAAATAGGATTGTTTTAGGATGAATTGATCAGTATAAAAGAAATATTTAAAATACGTAGTTTGAATAGTAATGGAAAAGTTAACTTTACCTGCATATATCGTAGATAGCCTCATTATCTACCATGAAAGCACAATCAGAATGCTCCAGTGTAGTATGCGTAGTCAAGATTGAATTGTATGGTTCCACTACAGCTGTTGAAATTTGAGGAGCAGGATAGATTGCGAATTCTAGCTTAGATTTCTTTCCATAATCCACACTCAAACGTTCCATGAGTAAAGATGTAAAACCTGACCCTGTACCACCACCGAATGAGTGGAAAAGTAAAAATCCTTGAAGACCAGTACACTGATCTGCCAGTTTACGTATGCGATCCAATACGAGATCAACAATTTCCTTGCCAATTGTATAATGTCCTCTAGCGTAATTATTAGCTGCATCTTCTTTACCGGTTATCAGTTGTTCTGGATGAAACAGTTGCCTATAGGTACCGGTTCTAACCTCATCTATCAAAATACAAATATTTTAGCGTAAAGTCAATTCATTAATATAATAGTGCTATGAAATAGCATAAATCTAAATGTATTCAACTTGCCAGAAATCTAACATCTTTCACTGTAAATGTGTGGTGTGGTGTTGATCTAAAAGAGATAATTAACGTGATGTTATGTCTAAACGTAAATATTATACATATCATAATATATAGTAAAACTATAAAAAGTATGTAAGATCATAGTGAGGAGTAGTATCTCATAAACTGTCAACTAACTATTCACTTGTACGATTATTCTGCCTTAAATATTTATGATTCATTGTACATTATACTAATTAAAGAAGTCAAGATAATAATAACAGTTATTTTTGTTGAAATATTTACGACATATAAAGTTGTTTGGTTTTAAAATATTTCAGTTTAAACTTTACTAAATTTAGTACTTATAATTGTAAGTGATGAACATAATACTGCAACTTGTACTAATAAAGCAAGCAAAATGTGGAAACCGATATATACTATTGATTGGTATGAGAAGTGATTTCCAGTCAGATAGAGGTGATCTAAGAAAAAACCTCTGAGTTTCGTCACAAATGAACGGAAGAGCTCATCGAAATTTAGATCACCTCTTTTTAACATATAAAGGAATGTATTTGCAAAAATTTTAAGACGTAATCATAGTTTCTTCAGCCTAGTGAAGTGTGATTTATACCTTAAGTCAATAGAATAACTTACCTACAACTGTCGGTTCTAGGTCTACAAAAACTGCCCTTGGGACATGTTTGCCTGCACCAGTCTCGCTGAAAAATGTATTGAATGAGTCATCACCACCGCCAATTGTTTTGTCAGAAGGCATTTGACCATCAGGTTGAATACCATGCTCAAGACAATACAACTCCCAACAAGCGTTACCAATTTGAACTCCAGCTTGACCGACATGGATTGAAATACATTCACGCTATATCAAGATATAAAATGTTAGTTGTATGAAATAAATTGTCCGTATAATTTCAAATAATTCATCTAAAACCTTAACTCACCATCTTTGTTCAAGCTAGTCACGGACTGAGCTATTTGATTTAATTCGATTTTTTGATGATTATTATCAGCTCACTGTTTCTTTATATACTCCGAATACACTGAATCTGGTTACCATGGCATCTAATCCGTTGTTATGACAGTTGTGTTTTGAGTGCGTTGTTTCTATTGGTTAACATTAAGGTAATCATTTGACAATCACCAAGTTATGTTTCAGTAATAAAATCTACTACTTTAAAAGGTGTTAGATACTTACTAACTGGTAGTGATAAATTCCTGGCTTAATTGAATGAAACTGAAATATGCAATAATTCTTACCTTCAAAGGAATATTCCTTTTAATAAGTAGAGGTAAAGGAAATCACAAAACCTGGTGAATTAATTATCTGTAAACTTTTAACCACTTCAGACAATACTGAAAATTTTAAGTAGTGTCAAAATAAAGTTTGTTTTGTCACTCATGTGCGTCGGTGACACAGCTGTAGAATGCTTCTCAACCACGCAGGTGGTTCGGGGTTCGATCCCCGGCCGACTTACTCCTTTACCTATCTAAGCCAATAATTAGACTTGTAAAGAAGGAATGTTGGACATGAGGCTAGCAACCCCATCCCCACTGCTACCGAAACTTCAAAGCTCTAGCTTGAAGCCGTATGTTCTACTGGGAACGTAAAGGAATGAAAAATTGACACTCATCGTTAGGAATCGGCTTCAGAACATCAAAGACGTAGGTTTGGTGCTTAATGGTTTAGTATACCTGCAACTTTAATCACTTTTATTTCTTCTGTACTCTAAGTTGCATCATTTCATTCAAAAGTCAAACACTTTACCAGTTATTATTCTTTTCAAGCTATTGTCTATCTTTAATAGGACTGCATTATATATGTTCAATGACTATAGTGAACATCTGGTCATCTCTCAATTCTGCTAAACTACATCTAACAGCTGATTCTCTCACAAAATACAATATTTTGAAACTACTATCGTTGATTGTCTGTTTTCTAGTTTTAAATTGATCTCGTTATGTTTGAGAGCTCCTTTTCCAGTATGTCTGTCAACAGACACCAAGATCATACGTGAATGGAAAATATGTGTGACTTAGTAGTGTAAAAGAACAAAGAAATTACCACCACCTACTCTCTCACTGTTTTCAGTCGTTACTGAAACTAATACAAATTAGCTTTAAGTTATGGAAACTGTTAATAGTTTACCTCTTAGTACCATCAAAAATACCTTCAAATTGGATGACGCTTCATAAGCCTTCGACTTAAAGTGAAGCAGAGATTTTTGTTTTGTATTATAACTAGTCGGTGGTAAGCTGCGAAAAGAGGGAAGATTAGGCGTGAGGCTAGATATCCTATTCGGTGAGAACAACGCCACTATAGAAACTTTCAAATATGAAGTCATATGTTGCACTAAGAGCACAAGTAATAAAAAAAATGTTATTGATTACCGTATGTACGTTTTAGAGATGTTGGTGCCTATTGGGGCGCTCAACTTCTACGGTTTTTAAACTGGCTGCATTCACAGAGGTTTTAGGAGTCATGGAATGTAATCAGCCATTACACAATGGGTGTGGCTTAGTACAAATCACATAAATGCATGTGGTTCTTGAATAATACTAACTGTTTAGTACTGAGTCATTGTTCAGTACTATTTTAGAAATAGTTCTATAAAAATTCTTACTTTTTCAAATAAATGTAAATCATTATCAGGTCATTCTGTATACTGACCGCAATCTCACTAAACTTATCCTCATAGCAGCAATTTTAGCCTTAGTCACTCTGTACGGTGTCATATATTACTGATTGATTGAGGTGGGTGGCTGCATACCGCTTATATCGACCAGTAGTGCTTGAAAGCCAGGTTGAGGTGGTCTGAAAACACCGGGCGGCCGTTTTGTGCATTTAAGGCTGTGCTCATCAGCGGTGTAACCGGTTTGACTCATTTATGAGCCGAATCAGTTCAAACCACCTGATTTCTGGCTAGGTGTTTGGGTGAACTGGTGATGTTATAAATAAAATTCATGTTTTGCGAATTGGTTAGCATTTCATGATGTACACAGTTCGAAGGGTGTAATTTTCACTAGAGTTTCCCTTTGAAACAAAATTATTCAGATCACAGTTAGTTTATGTCATCACCAGTTCACGCAAATACCTAGACAGAAATCGGGTGGTTTGAACTGATTCGGCTTTTTGAAATGTGTCAAACCGGTCACACCGCTGATGAGCTCAGTCTTAAATGGATCAAACAGACGTCCAGTGTTTTTAGACCACTTCAACCTGGCTTTCAAGCACTACTGTTCGATATTATTTGTATGCAACTACTCACATCAATCAACTAGCGACATATATGACACCATACAGATTGACTATTGTAATGCGTCTTGAAGTTGCTTCGATGCCCTCAAAAGAAATCTTCTAGTATGATTGCTCAAGCAATGATGAAGCTCAATGTATCATTTTATGTCGTTGACTTTTACTGTCACACTTGTGCATGACGTGAGGAATTTTTGTTTATTTACCTACAACATTCATGATAATAGTAAGTTTTATTATTTATATATATTCATTGTTATTGGTATGTATTTCTAATATAAACCTTTTTGTTTTGATTTAATGAATCCAAAGGAGACTAAACGCCAATGAATACTTCGAAAGAATATAAAGTAACTAGCTAAGCTACATGAAATATTAATTATCACATCAAAGCATAATTTAGATCCAGTTGTACAGATATTTGCATTTTAATCTTTAATACATCAAGAAATTTGAAGGTTTATTGCGTTGTTTTCTTCAACTTTATAACGTCACTAAACGTAGATGTCATATTAGTGTAAAAATAGAATAGTTATAGTTTGACATCATAATTTATTATCAAAACAAATGACTATTTTTAGAACTTATCAATTCTCAGTTTTCACTGTTATACTGCTTTGGAGATAGCAATAATTAAAGAATTCTTAGTACCGATTAGAGTTATTTTTTTGTTTTCATGGCTTTTTGTCATACATAAATTAGTTGTTATTGCTGTGACCAATTGGAAACAATAAGACACTTCAAATAAATTGAGGATGGAATCGAAACTAGAGTTGTATAAATATATAAAGAAAAATAGTAGACAAAAGATGTTACTTTTTATATTTATTTTATTTCTCTGCATTTCCAGTAGAACATTGTGTTTGAGGTTTCACTAGCAGTGATGTTTCTTATTCTTTATGCGACGGTTTTGCTGGGCTCACGCTCAACTTCCCCTTTTTACCGGGCTTACTACCGGCTAAACAAGATTTAGGAGTGTATCGGCCGGAAATCGAACCCTGGACCACGTCCGTGGTTGGCTAGTATTCTTCCACTTAACCACCGATGCATTAAACAAGAGATATCAGCCATATTTAAATTTAAAGGAAATTAATATTTGTTTTTAATTCAATTTTGATTTTCCCGTTGACTGACAGGATCGAAATGTTTGTCCTCTGTTGACATGTCGGCTCCTTGTGCGAATGCTTCGACTATGTCCGAGGATTAACTCCAAGTAATTTGGCGGATGGTGACTAACCCAAGTGGTACAATGGATAACAATTTTGGTTGGAGCCCCAATGGGAACACCATTACTGACTACGGAATACAGATACATCCAGTGACGGGTCCCATATTGGAAGAAACGTTCATGCCAGATTCCACTGTTCATCACCACCCACCAAATGACTCCAAATTAATATTTAATCAAATAAAAAAGTACCCAGTTTACAATTTTTTTTATTTCCTTCACGTTCCTAGTGGAACATAGGGCTTCAAGCTGGAGGCTTGAAGTTTCTGTAGCAGTGTTTAATTTTACAGGATGTGGTTGCTAGCCTCATGCCCAACCTTTCCTCTTTACCAGCGTTATTTCTCGCTCAGCGTGGTAAAGTAGTGCGTCGGTGGCCGGTGATCGAACCCTGGCCCATGTGCATGGTCGGCGAGCATGCTAACCTCTGAGCCACCGACGCACAATTACAATTAGGATGAATAAATAGAATTATGGAAGATGGAATCCAGGTAAGAAGACGAATGCGTTACAATTTACCTCAAGACCAGTAATTTTTAGATTCTGTCTATTCTTTCTACAGGGTCAATGCTACTTACAAAATTCCAACCTTTCAATACTAATTAGTGATTTTATATTTAACTTTCTGTAGTTTGGTTTGTAAGGGTTTGTTATGTTTTTACGAGTTGATCACGGATTGATATCAGTTAGAGGACCATTGAAAACCAGCACTGGAGTACTGGACAGCTGCTGTTTCATCCTAGTTTTGGGAATCATTGGCAGTACGTACCCACTGGGATTCGAACCCAGGACCTTCCGGTTACAAGGCAAGCTCGTATACCATTCAGCCGCTGGGACCCGATTCAATGGCTCATGAATTCTAACTTCTACCAATTCGTGATTTAGCGCGCCCCCAACCATTGTCGTTGGTGGGAAATCCATCCACACACGCGACATCGAATTGGACCTCACTGGTCACGACTTCTCACTAGAACTCAGGAAACTCCAACCTGTAGTAAGTTACTAGCGAGCATCAGATTAATTTTCTATAGTTTGGTTTGTAAGGGTTTGTTATGTTTCAGAATGAATTTTGAAAAGTTCTAATTGGAAGCCAAGTTAGGATAATCATCTATTGAAAGAAGAATATTATATTACTTTTCATCCTAAGAAATAACTAAACTCATAAATCCCTAGGTAACAAAACTAAGTGAATGTGTAATAATCTAATCTATTCACTTCATAGATGATAAGCGTCTTCAACTGACACTTAGGTAATCTCTAGTCAATATGCTGTTAAATTTCAAATTTTTAACAATAATTTATCTAATTCACCCTGAAAATAAAGTCTGAAATTGTTACATCATTAGGTTACTTATTATTTATAGTGATAATAAAATCTGAATACTTAAGCTGTTACTTTACACAGCACAATAAAAACGTCATTGTAACTATAGTAACTAGTGATGATAACAATAACAACAAAAGAT